GAGACTCTTCAATCCTTTTTCCACATACTGCTGCCAGATCAGGTCTTCCTAATTCTGTACCTGGGCATTTGATTTTTCCTCTATCCAAGTGCAAGGCTGTGATTAAGCATCATCTTTTAGGATTTCATTGTTTTGAATTATGTTTTTGCCTTCTGACTGTTACATAATTTCTTTAGTTTACATCAGCTGAAAATTAGGCAAGCATTCCTTCCTTTCCATCCTTTCTCTTTTCTTTCTCCCTCCCTCAATTTCCTATGTGTGGTTTCACAATTTGGAAAGGGAACCATGACCTTCTAGCTTGCTTCTGTGTATTACTAGTGGTTGATGTAGATGCACGAACATCATGAGACAATAAAGACTGAAATTCTCTGAAATTCTGTGCTTTGTTGTCGAATTTTGACACTGGATCTTGAGTGCCTTGAGACCTGAAATGAGATCCTTGGTGTCTTTTTTATTTTTTAAAATATGTTTAATATTGAATTACACCAAGAAAAAATGCAAAACCTGTGAATACAAATAAAACAGCATGTACACTATATGTGTACATACTCAGATATTCTCACACACACATACACACACACACACACACACACAGAGAGAGAGAGAGAGAGAGAGAGAGAGAGAGAGAGAGAGAGAGAGATGCACCATATAAAACAACCTAACAAACAAGAGAAAAGACAAATAGTAAATCAAATAATACAATACTAATAACATTTATAGAAAAATTGCCATGACACAGTTTTTAAACAGCAGATTGAATCTTGACCATAGGGAATCACATTGCCTGGTGATAGACCACCAATTCAGAATCTGAGAGCGGACCCATTTCATCAAAAGAACCTTTTGAGCATGATAAATCCAGAAATTTTAATAAATAGATAAATTGTTTAAACATAATTTTTATGTTTAAACACATGGGCATCCTTAAACTTTCTTTTCTTCCCAAAAAAATTACTATAGCAAGAATATCCAGTTAATAAGTTAACAAGGGACATGACCATGTTATGTAAACACCTCAAAGGTATTATATCTCCAACATCGGAAATTGTGTAGACTTTCTAAACAACCTTTGAAGAGTCTAATAACCTGCAAAAAGGTTTTTTATGAATTAATCTTATTTTAAAATCAAAAGAAATATATCAATATTTCTTAAGCTTGTGAAACTCCAGTTTCAAGTCCTGCATGTTATCAGTATATATTATCTTTTTAATTTTCAATAAAAGTGAATGGTAATACAGGTTATTTTTTAAAAATATATATTTTTACATTATGTTTGACAAGGAAAGCTTGGAGTTTGAGCTTTCCAAAAAAATTAATCATTAATTTAGTAATTTGTTTATCTAAGTAGAATTAACATAGATATCATCTTAGAATATATATCAATCTTGAACCAATATTCATGTTCACAGCATTTATTCTTTCTCATAAACTTTCACCCATCTATTAAAATCACCATTATTCCCCATTATGCAATTTGAAATATCCATCTCTATCAAAATGATATGCTGGCTATCATATAATAAATAATAATAATAATAATAATAATAATAATAATAATAATAATAATAATAATATGCAACATAACACCCCAGACTTAACAATTGTCGATAAGAAAGACAAAAAAGTCTGGATAGTGGACGTGGCAGTGCCTGGAGATAGCAGAATAGAAGAGAAAGAACTGGAGAAGATAACAAAATACAAAGACCTACAAATAGAAATAGAAAGACTGTGGCAAAAGCAAGCAAGGGTAGTACCAATAGTCATAGGCTCCTTGGGTGCAATCCCAAAACAACTGGAGCACCACTTGAACACCATTGGCATTGACAAATTCGCTATTAGTCAATTGCAAAAGGCGGCCTTATTAGGAACTGCTTCCATCCTGCGACGATATCTATAATACCATCAAACATCCACATCTGCCTATCCCAGGTCCTGGGTAAGGACTCGATAGGTAGACAAAATGCCAAATCCAGTCTGAACATCTGGCTGACTGTGCGATGATCGATAATAATAATAATAAAGTTGGAAGGGACCTTGGAGGTCATCGAGTCCAACCCCCCTATGGCTTGGTCTCCAGGTATAAGGAACTATTGAGTAGGGATCAGACAATTCAAAACAATCTGTGGAACAGCTTGACTTCAGAAGTTGTGGGTGCTTCATCACTGGGTTTTTGTTTTTTTTAAGAAGAGACTGACTGGACAGTCACTTGTCTGAAATGGTATAGGGTCCCCTGCATGAGCAGTGGGCTGGACTAGACCTCCAAGGTCCCTTCCAGATCTATTCTGATTGATTAATTGGCATAAAGCACAACTAGTTTGTACATATACTACTTCAGGTTATGTTTGATTATTGATTTAGTTGGAAGTAAATTGAATTAAGTCTGTAGTTTCTTGTTAATGACTTTAGCATCATAACGCTATTCCTGTTCAGGTCATATAAGTTAGGGAGGACCACTTTGGTCTAATGGTTAAGGCACCAGGCTAGAAACCAGGAAACTTGTGAGTTCTAGTCCTGTCTTAGGCATGAAAGCCAGCTGGGTGACCTTGGGCCAGCCACTTTCTCTCAGTGCAACCCACTTCACAGAATTGTGGTCCTGAAGAAAGTAAGAGGAGGAAGGAGCATTATGTATTTGCGCTGCTGCTTTGAGTTGGTTATAAAATAAAAATGAAAGTAATTTAAATTAAATAAAAAACAGGCTATTTTTTTAATAGTAGGAACAAACATACAACTACAGGAAGCCAATCTTATGGGAGAATAGGAAGATCCCATTTCAATATTGTCTGATCACTCACCATCATCCTTCAGTGACTGAACTGATTTTCTTTCAGCTCTGCTCTAACACAACTTCTTTTCTGCAGTTTACAACACTGGAGCTCAGTGGGGCTTGGCAGGGGGCTATTTTCCCATATTGCTTCACTATACCTCTCATTTTTGGAACTCAGAATTTTTTAATAAGTTTCCCAGGCAACCTTATCAACAAACCTAATAATTCTAATCATTTTCTAGTGCTTGTAATAAAGTGCCTGCTTTGAGTTTTCTCTGTTTATATAACCAGGATGTATTGAACCGTTGTCTCATTCCATTTTCCAGTTTCTCTCTCTTTCCTCAAAATGACAATGTCATGCCACCAGCACAAATTGTAGTAGATGTATAGGTTTATACAGGAAACCTGTACTTGGATTGTCAGGGAGTTTTCCTTTCCCTCATCCCTCTCATTTTTTTTTCAAAACAGCCAGAAAGAGCACAGCGCTTATACTGAAAACTTAGGAAGGGGCAGGGATAGCTGTTTATTCCATTTATGTTGTTATAGCTCAGGGGCTGACCACTGAATCAAGTTGGCTGATGACAATGTGTTGTTCTCTCTATTTTTAGCAACAGATTGCATAATTCGTGGTGAATGGCCGAGTTTAATGGGAGTTAGAAGCATCAACTCTCCTAGTCCACAGTGTCAGCAAATTTGTAGCATTTCAGATGGATTTATTTCTTAGTCATGGCATTATGTCTTGAAAATAAGTTCCCTTTTCCTGCAAAACATAAGAAAATCATTGAACTGGGAGGAGACTTTCCAGTGTCCCTGAATGGTATTTTCAGAAAGAAAAACATTTCTGAAGGTGTAGCAGTTTATCAGACTAAGCTGCAAAAGCAGCAACACCATCTGAAATTCTTTTTGTGCCGAGCTGTTATAAGAGACCCAGTTTAGTTTAATGGTTAAAAGGGCACACTGAGAAACTAGAAGGCTGCGAATTCTATTCCTGCCTTAGGGACAAAGCCAGCTGGGTGACCTTGGGCCATTTACTTACTCTCAGTTCTAGGTAGAAGGCAGCAGCAAATGACTATCAGAATGACTTTATCCAGGTAGTAGCCAGGAATCAGAACTGACTTGAAAGCACAAAACACTAACACACAAAAACAGTGACTTATGTGTAGTTTTGCCAGCTGTTCAGGATACAGAACAGAACAAAGAATGTCAAGCTTCTCTACTAATTGTTCTATCAATTTCTACATTATGGACAAGAGCAACTTGACACAAGTTTAAAAAAAATTGAGTGCTCTCTCACATACGTCATTGAAATCTTTGACCATTTTTAAAAAGCAAGACTGAGTGAGAAGATGATTCCTTATTTCAGGGAAGGATCACTTTTATCGTAAGACATCATATGCTTGTCTGGTTTTGGCTTAATCTGTTAAGTGCACCCAGCCTCTAATGCAGTGGTTCTCAAACTTTTTAATGCCGCGGCCCCCAACCAGTCGTAAGTCGAGGACTACTCAACTGGTGCAGCACCGTTTGCAGAATGGGACTTTTGGCGGGCTCAGCAGGGCAGAGACAGCCTGGACAATTCCTATTGGCTTTTGAAAGCCAATAGAATTAGACTCTATTCAAGAGAGTCTATTCTATTGGCTTTCAAAAGCCAATAGAATAAAAGGGAGTAGCACAGCTAAGGAAAAGGGGGAAAAATGGTGGACTGCATTGTTTGGAGACCCCCGTAAAATGGTCGTTCGACCCCAAATGGGGTCCCGACCCGCAGGTTGAGAATCACTGCTCTAATGGGATATACCATATTTTCCGGCGTATAAGACGATTTTCTAAAGCATGGAAATCAGCGCCGAAGTCGGGGGTCGTCTTATACGCCGAGTCGTCTTATATGCCGGAAATTATGGTATATTAAAATAGTTAAAATTAAATTATGGTGATGGTAAATGAATTAGATTTATGTATTGGAAATTGGCTCATAACTGACTTAGGCACAAATGTTTTTATTTAATTATTACAGTATAAATGTAATGGTTACTGCTTTGTCTTTATAAAATATAACTTAAATTTAGATGCTGACAACAATCCATTACTAATTAATCACTACTGATTAATACTAATGGAATATTTTTGATTGCTACATAGATTTTTAAATATTGGATCTTTGAAACTTTAAATGACTGCTAAGTGCTACAATCTGGCTTTGCTTTACCTGTGTTTTCTCCCATGCCCTGAATTTTTTTTTAAGCAACCACACAACATTTTGCAGAGACGTCTCATGGAAACAAATATGTCAAGATTGCGGCACAGTCGAGGGACATGCTCTCAGAAAAATGATCTCTCAGCTCAGACAAATAAACTGAATCAAATTAAACTGGATAGTCCCCCCAAAACAGAGGAAGAGGATCTCATTCTCATATGCTGCCAGGTAAGCTTTTGTATCCTGTAGGAGATCTGTTAGTCCATTTCCTGTACTTTTGAAAAGTTCTATATTCCTACATCTCAAGGTAGTAGAACTTTCCAGAACAAGACTCAGGAACATTCTGCTCCAAGTTGCCTCAAATCTGAGGATAAAGTTTAAGGCTGCCTGTATCTTGTTTGGATTAAACATCAAAGTTGAAAGTCATGAATGAAGGCAAATATACGTGACCCAAGATAATGTTGTAGGATCCAGTCTGGGTCGGTCCCTGGGACCAGAGGTTTTGACTTCCAAGCTTTAGGACTCGTTCTGGAGCCCATCCGCGGGGGAGGTTGAGAGTTATGCTCTTTGGCTTAGGAGCCACACAGTTGTAGCCTATGTGATTTGTGTTACAACTAATAGAGCTACTCCTCTGATTAATTCTGATCATGGGAATCACTTCCAGTAGTTCAGCTTATTTCCTAAAGTCCTGGAGTTATTCCCCATGTTCTGAGCAATATCTACTGAGGTCCGTCCGTAGACAAAACATTGACTCAACCCAATGGCCTGCAAATTAATAAAACTGGCTGAGTTTACACAACACATTGAGCACATATTAGGCTATTGCATTTTAGTCTTGTGTGTGTCATACACCTTTCATATGTGAACCAGTTTGTCTTTATTAAAACAAATATCATTCTATTGTCCTTTGGTAAACATTACTGTGCACAGTACAGAAAAATAATAAACCATAGCATGCAAGGGAAAGGAAAGAAGTAAGAGAAAATAAAATCTGGCTAAATCTAGTTTACTTCCACACTATTTACTGTGTTTCTCTGTACTTTTCTGATTTTACAAATCATCTTTGCTTTTACCGAGTTTACACTGTGCTTGATATATTGCCGTTTGCTTTTTAAACTTTTTATCCTTTTTTCAGGATTTTATTAATACCATCAAACCATGGTGATTTTATTATTTTTCCCTTTTGCGCAACTTATTCCTTGTTCCTTCATATATTTGTTTTGCAATTCAATTCTCATTTATCTCTTATGAACAAAACATTTTGACATTTAAACATACATATTAAACTTGCATATGGCTGGTTTCAGGAAATTGACTAACAGTTTACAGCAAAAATATAAAATTTCCACTTCAAGAAACAATAAAACATCCATGATAACATTCATGCATCATGAATTTCTTAAGTACCCCATTCCCACTGCATTCAACATGTTTTTTTTCTGACATATCCAACTCCCACTTCCATATAAAAAGGGGGCATAAATATACTTTCATATACATCCCAACTTTTTTTTCAACAAACATTTCTCACATAGATTATATACTGTCCAATGTCTAACAGCATTTGACTTCTTAAAATTTCTCCATTTTGTTTTCCCATCTAATAGTCTCCGAAATAGCATGGCTTTGTAACAGGCTTTTGAGCTTTAATATATGAAATACATTTTAACTTGGAAACCACCCCTAATAATATTAGTTGATTGGGTGGGTGTTAGGTGAGACATAAGCTCAACTTATGTCACAGAGTTGTTATGATGTTTGTTTCTTGGTGTTCCCTGAGCATGCTTCTCTCCCTGCAAGGTCACATAATCAGGCTAAGTGAGCAGGAAAAGATGCAAGCTCAGAGAACATCAAGAACCCTTTAAGTCAGCCCTGTGAAATATATTCCATTATGTCAGAGTTGTTGTGAGCTGTTAGTGCTTCCTTGAGTTCCTAAATAAAAAGCAATATAAAAATCTAATAAATAAATCCAAACACTGGGTTTGTATGACCCACTGGACCACAAAATATTCAACTATATTTTAGTCAAGCATTTTGTGCTACTTCAGCTCCTGCTGTTAATTTATGGTGCTTTGTTGTATTAAGTTTTCTGGGAAAACCGCATAACCCTTGGTTAAGTCAAGTGTAGCTAAGGGTCCTTGTGAACATAGCTATTGTGTCTCCAATGCTTAGGAGTGGGAATGGAGATAGAACTTTTTTTTCCTAAAACTGTATCAAAAAACAATAGAAATACAGATAATTCAGCTGATATTGTGCAAAAATGCTGTGTTTTTTTCTACAGTGTAATGGGAAGGAATTGCAAGTTGTGGTTAATACTGGATGCCAACGCAATATAATTTCATCTGCGTGTCTGGAGAGATTAGGGTAAGCAACACTCTTTGTGGCTGTAGCAATTGATGTAAAGTAATTAAATTCTCTTGCTTTTACAAGCTGAGGTCATTATTGGTTGTACTGCTCAGTTACAGATTTAGGTCCTAAGGTTACCTTTGAAGTTGCAAGCTGAGCTAAGAATTTGCTACTGCAGAAAGGGAGAAAAGAAAATTATGGAATAAATTACAAAACTATTATTATTAATAGTGGTACTGAATCAAATAAGCAACATTTCTTTGGGCATCTATACCACCCTTCTTTCTGTCATAGAATAATGATCTTGAAAAGAGCATCTAGTATCACAGTATATATAAATAGATAGCTTTTGTTATTGTTCCTTTACTTTTGTTAAACAGTGTTTGCAAATTCCTGAACTGGTATAAAAATCTCTCTAGAAACAGGCTGAAACAGCTAAACGAGAATCTGTCTTTCAAACCAATTCTTAATGGGTACAGTTTAACAATGTAAGTCTGGAACAAGGCAGCCGTGTTTCAATAAATTTAGAACAATACTATATATTGGGAAAGAATTTTATTCCAGTGGTAATTTGGTCTGTTATTTTTTCCTGTTTCTAAAATAGCCTTGAAAATTCTTAGTCTGGTGACCATGAAACGTTTATTTTAGCAATAACAATTTACAGCCCAGGGGCCATCCCACACTGATTACTGAAAAAATAAATGCCAGTTTTTTGTAATTGTCATGAGGTATTTAAGTAACACTGTAGCTCTCAGTGGTTGTGCCTGTAATGAACTGAGCACTGCTGAGCAATTTACATTCTCATTACCCAAAGTCATCATTATATATTTAGTAGGAGTTTTATACTATAAGTTAGTATTACTTCCTGCAGAGTAGCTGGCACCTTTACTTCCTTCTCATTGGATCCAGTAAGTATATTTCTGAAGCAGGACTGGAAAGCAGGGTGAGGCTTACCTTGTTTTAGCACAGGGATGGACCACTTTTGATATTCCAGGTATCACTTCAGGTATCTATCTCAGTTAGCTATGTGGGATGGGGCTGTTGGAATGAAGTTCTACAACATGAGGGAAGCCATATATTACCCTGAACTTTGTAATCATGCCTTTCATAGCTGTTTGGCTAGAAATTAGGGAAAATGATATCTATTCATGCTATCACAAACTTTGACCTAGTGGAACAAACTGTCGAGAGTGACAAAAGAATAAACTGTAACCATATTTTTATTGTTTTATTGGGTTGAGCTAGTAAACCTCTTCAGAACCACTTCTTGTTAACTAAATTGAGATGTAGGCATGATAAAATGCAGGCTATTGATTATAGATTACTTTGATAATTAATACAGTAGTTAGATTCTTTTACTCCATTTTATATAGGGTCTTCTCTGAAGTGAAGATTGATTTGATACATTATTTTAAAAAACTTATTTAGTTGGAATATATATAGTTTCTCTGTACAACACTAGCTAAAGACATTGCAAGAGCAGCCCTTGAAACTGTCCTGCTACTTTATGAAATGTTGGCTTTTAGGACATGTCACAAAATGTGTTGTATTCCAGCCATATCCTTCTTCAAGGCATTTCATTCTATACCCACTGGATCTAAGATTTTTTGATTACTGGGTATATTCAGTATTTTCAATTCCCTTTTAATTATTTATTTCCAAAATATGTTTTATTTTTTCACATTTTGTTACCTTTCCCAACTACCAATTTGTATTTATTAATAGTATATACCACTAATGTCTTGGGGGGGGGGTGTTGAGGGCCATGCTAGACTTTGCTTCATTTGCTGGGGGCTGCATTCATTCAAAAGGAGAGCAGGGACAAGATATTAAAAATATAATTTGAATATAAACGTTGTTGTTGTTAATTGCGAAGTCGTGTCCGACCCATCGCGACCCCATGGACAATGTTCCTCCAGGTCTTCCTGTTCTCTACCATCTTCTGGAGTCCATTTAAGTTCACACCTACTGCTTCAGTGACTCCATCCAGCCATCTCATTCTCTGTCGTCCCCTTCTTCTATTGCCCTCAATCTTTCCCAGCATTAGGCCCTTCTCCAGTGAGTCCTTCCTTCTCATTAGGTGGCCACAGTATTTGAGTTTCAACTTCAGGATCTAAAGAGCAGTCGGGGTTGATCTCTTCTAAGACTGACCGGTTTGAACGCCTTGCAGTCCAAGGGACTCGCAGGAGTCTTCTCCAGCACCATAGTTCAAAGGCCTCAATTCTTTGGCGCTCAGCCTTTCTTATGGCCCAACTTTCACAGCCATACATTGCAACTGGGAAAACCATGGCCTGGACTATACGCACTTTTGTTGGCAGGGTGATGTCTCTGCTTTTTAGTATGCTGTATAGATTTGCCATAGCTTTCCTCCCCAGGAGCAAGCGTCTTTTAATTTCTTGGCTGCAGTCCCCATCTGAGGTGATCTTGGAGCCCAGAAAAATAAAATCTGTCACTACCTCCATTTCTTCCCCATCTATTTGCCAGGAATTGAGAGGGCCGGATGCCATGATTTTGGTTTTCTTAATGTTGAGTTTCAAGCCAACTTTTGCACTCTCCTTCTTCACCCGCATCAAAAGGCTATTTAGTTCCTCTTCACTTTCTGCCATGAATATAAACATAATAAAATTAATTAAAATATATTTAATCATTTTGTCCATTAAATATGAAGGCAAATTTTGGAGCATTCTGTGGATCCATCAAGGTTTTGGAGGGTTGCATAAGGCCTTCTGGGCTTTCACATTCTGTATCCTTGACATATAGGATTTGACCTCTAAAAACTATGCTTTCTTTCTTCTCCTAATTGTGTCTTTATTTGCACATGAGCTCCCTTCAGTAATACTTGGTTAGAGGAGAGACTCCCCGAACATTTGAGAACTGAAGTTTTGAATTTCATAACAAATAGATATATCATACCAATGAATTGTGACAGACAAATTCATAAATTGGGTCTTAGCAAAATTTCACAATGAATCACTGCAGGTTTAACTCCCAAACTCCTGGTGTTAATACTTAATTTAAAACTCATATAGACTTAGAGCAGGGGTGTCAAACTGCCGGTCTACAGGCCGGATGCATCACATGGAAGCCACGCCCACCCCATTGCTGGCAATGGCAAAACCGGCCCAATATGTTGCGCGACGTCACATGACGTCGCGCGTTTGACATGCCTGAGTTAGAGGCTTTGTGCTGTTCCATCAAAGAAATTACCGCTTATATTTATTGAGGTGGGAGTAATAATAGTGGTGGGAAGAAGAACATTGAGTGTAGTCTTTACCATATTCAAATAACTTCTTTGGCCATGTATCTCAGTCAGAATTACTGACTATCCAAAAGGGCAGCATAGAATAATATACTTCTGTTCCACCCCATTGATGCAGGGATGCATGATGCTGCCTTAATTGTTTTCCTTTTATAAAAAAAATGAAAGATGTTTGTATTTTTATTACTGTAAAAAAGAAGTAATTTTAAGTTAGAAATTTAATGAAAAATTGAACAAAAGCACTTTACATTGTCAAATCCATTGTTACAATAGGAAACTTCAAAATGTGAGGTTCGCTGTCTTAATTACTAGTTTTATCACCACTCTCTGGTTGTGGGTGTCTCCTTTTGCACAGCTATCAATATGACTGATTTATTCCTGACAACACAGATGATGTTTTTCTCAAAGTGTTACATTTTCTATTTTTAAGGGGGAAATTAGTTGAAATGTACAAATTGCCTGGTTTTTCTCCTTTGAAGTGATGAATAATGACTCTTTCAACTTTTAAAATTAAAATTTATGATATACCCTTACTTCGGGTATACAAAGTTTTAATTAACACTAATTGTTACAAATTTTCTTCATTATCCACAATCTTTTTTTTGTTGATCAAAAAAGCTATTCTATTGCACGAGACTGCATGATACTCTCAAGTTTTCTAAAAAATAATAAATCCTATGTTTTAATTGCCCAGAAGAAATCCATTTCTCTTATTAAATGGAACCTGTCTGAAACTTAAGTGACAAGTTATACTGATTTTTGTGCATAATTTCCCTTTTCAAGTTTCTGCACTTTTCAGCATCACAGTAAGGTTGGCTAGCATTCATTTCTGTAATTCCTGTTTTCTATTGTGATTTTACATTTTCTCATTATACTTTTTCTGAGCACATACTTTATAAAAATGATTGTCTTGTGATGTGCTTTGTTTAATCCATTTTACACTGAATATTGCTTAGAAACTCCCTCATTGCTGGCATATCTCTCGGATTTTTCTTTTTACTAGATCTTTCCTGATAACCCAGTTGCAGTTGTCCATTATTATTACTGTTATTGTTTCCACTTATTTTTTCATTTTAAGAATAAATGTTGTTCATAAAACCCTATTTATATGGCATGGTATGCCTATCCTCCTTTGTTCTGAAATTCTCTAGATTTGTATGAAGTGGGAATTTATGTAGTACTTATAAAAAAATGAAATACGGTATGGTGTGGAGGTTGTAGCATCTTGTGGACCTGGTTTTCTATACCTTCATAAGATACAGCATTTCAGAATGTAAAGCAGCTTTCTGTATCAAAGTGTTTTCAGCAGGTGAGATTATAGTATTCTGTGATGTAAATGTTATGAATTCAAATACATATAGCCTAACTAAGAAGAAGCCAGTTATGAGACTTATATATGTAAAAAGTTCTAATCTAATTTAGCCATAAACCTACCTTCCAGATTCACTTAATTGTACAATCACTTTCCTGGGATAAAGATGGACAGGAAAATAAATCGGAATCTATTGGTAGATTGTTAAGATTTAAATTGATATGCATAGATTTCTGATTTATTTTCTTTTTAAAAAATAGCAACAGCATAGTCAAGCATGTTCAGTATGTACACATGTATTCATTTATATAATTTAGAAGCCTCCCAAATTCATAAGATTCTGGGCAATTTACAATGTCAAAAATAATAAATACAGGTAGTTCTCAACTTACCACCACAATTGAGCCCAAAATTTCTGTTGCTAAGTGAGACAAATGTTAAGTGAATTTTCCCCATTTTACGACCTTTCTTGCCACAGTCACTGAGGTTGTTAAGTTAGTAACATGGTTGCTAAGTGAATCTGACTTCCCCATTGACTTTGCTTGTCAGAAAGTCACAAAAGGGAATCACAGGACTCTGGCACCCCCAACCATCATAAATATGAGCCAGTTGCCAATCCTCCGAATTTTGATCAAGGGGATACTACAACGGTTGTAAGTGTGAAAAACTGTCATGTCTGTTTTTTTCAGTGCCATTGTAACTTTGGTCACTAAGTAAACTGTTGTAATTTGAGGACTATCTGTAATAATAAAAGTGTACACCATGTGCATCCATAAAAACAAAAACAAAAAAACGCAATATAAAATTCTATAGGCCTGGGGGAGGAGTCAGCATCCATTAGGATTGGAATAGTAACTCAAAAGCAGATTTGCAGTTATGCAGGAAATGAAAATCTCCCATTGAGCCACCCTTTTGTGTTTGGTTCCATTTTGTAGATTTCAGTGTTTAATTAAGAAAAGCAATTTTGTACAATCAGAATGTTTTTCTATTTTTGTTCTTGATGTAGATTGACAACATTATCTCCAACTGCTTCCAGGGCAAGTTTGTTTTATTTTGAGTTTGTTAGAATAAGCATGGAATAACATGGAATAAACAATATAAAATTGAGATGGCGTGACTGCAGTGGACATTGAAAAAAAGAAGTACATCCTTCAGAATATTCAGAAATTACAGCGGAAGCAAAGAAAACCAGTAATTTAAAGTTTTTTGAATTGCAATACTATTATATTTAAGAAGCTGGAGAAAAAAGGAAAAGAGATGGCTGGGTATATTTGAAAAAGGAACTTTTCCCCCCTATCTTTTGCTAACCACATGATACCATTAATAGACAGAAAAATAGATCCTTCAAAGAAGCAACATCAAAGTGCCTTTAGCTCTGGCTCATCTCTGCATAGGTCATGAATCAGTCATGAATCAGTCATCTTGCAGAAGGGAACAGAAGAATAGTACCTTCAAGATGATACAAATGAAAACAAATTCTCATGGAACAAGAAAGAATTATTACTTTCAGACTAGTAGTTTTTTTAGATAGTTTTCACTGGGAACAAAGGTCAGTGCAAATGGTAAGAACAGCAAACAACTGTGATTGCCTTCAGGAATATTTTGTTCTGATTCACGAATTGCTTACCCATTCACTATCACTCCAATAAAAGAAAGTGAAATGAAAGATTGTGCTAAAGGTCATCCTTCAATTAAATATTGATATTCAACTATTTTAAACATGTATTATTAAAATAAAGTCATTAATAGTTATCTTGTCCTTTTGTGTGTGTGGAGAAAATATACTATCAACAGCAGCTGCAGCCATATACCTTGGACTTGAAAGTAGTAGTATCTCTGTGATTGTTGCACAAAATAGGTTATATCTTATAAGGTTTGGAGAACATACGTTTGGATGAGATGTAATGAGCTTGGTAAATATTGTGAAAATTGAAGAATTCCCAGAAATAAGATTTTCAGATAAGGAATTGTGAACGTAGAAGGAAGGGAGAGAGTAAGTATGCTGGGGTCTTTTAAACCAGTTAATGAAAATTAGGAAGAGTGTCAGCATTGCAATATTTCTGGTTTTTATGCATGCACTGATGCTCAGGAGGAAAGGAATAGCACTTAGGCTTATATACCACTTCACAGTGCTTTACAGCCCTCTCTAAGCAGTTTTACAGAGTCATCATATTGCCCCGAACAATCTGGGTCCTCATTTTACCAACTTTGGAAAGATGGAAGACTGAGTCAACCTTGAGCCAGTGAGACTTGAACTGCTGAACTGCTGGCAGCCATCAACCAGCAGAAGTAGCTACAGTCCTGCATTCTAACCACTTGCCACCTCGGCTCAGTGGAGTCCCTGCAGATTTTACTCCACTAATCGTTGCCAACTATAGTCCCTGTAGTTTTCTTGACAAGCTTTTTCAGAAGTGGTTTGCCATTGTCTTCTTCGAAGGGCTGAGAAAGAATGACTAGTCCAGTGGTGGCGAACCTATGGCACGGGTGCCAGAGGCGGCACTCAGAACCCTCTCTGTGGGCGCTTGCGCCATCGCCCCAGTCCTAGGCCTTCAGCTGGGTTTTATAAAACCTTTTCACTTTAGGCCTTTGCTGCCGTGTGCAAAAAAAAAAAAGGTTCAATCAATCAATTTCAACTTCTTGCAGAGAAAAAAAAAAGATCTTGCAAAGTTGGAATTGATTGATTGAACTTTTTAGTCCCACCCAGTCTACCGTTACTACTGCAGCCATGCCCACCCAATGGGCCACACCCGCCCAATGGGCCACACCCACCCGGCACCAGATGATGCATAAGTGGGTTTTGGGTTGCAGTTTGGGCACTCGGTCTCTAAAAGGTTTGCCATCACTGGACTAATCCAAGGTCACAAAACTGGGTTCATGCATGATTAGAATTTATGGTCTCCTAATTCTTAGCTTGATGCCTTCATCACTACACCAACCTGGCTGTTTTCTAAATAATACTAATTGTTCCCCATGAACAATTTATAACATCTTTAGATCAATAGCAGAAAAGCTAACTTTCTACACATCCCATTCTTGTCTATTTCTTACACTCTGGGGCTTTTGGTTTGCATTGTGTTATGTGTTGCATGAATTTAGCTGAAGAGGATGTTTAAATTTTCATTTTATAATCTTCACATATATCAACTGAGTTCTAAAATAAGGTCAGAGTACACATGCACAAAGGAAAGTGCAAAAATGCCCACGATAGACAGTATGTTGTGACGATTAAAATATTAGACTAGCATTCAAGAGTCAAGATAGAAATCCGCCATAGAAATTCAGTGAGTGACTTTGGACCAGTCACCCTGTTTTGGCTTAGCTTGCAGGGCTGTTATGAGACTAAAATAAAGGCAGATCCCTATGTTAATTGCTTTGAAACTGTTGTGGCCTGTCGGCTGCCAGAGAATTCCATAGCCAACTCAAAGGAGTGGGCGCCAGGCCCAGCATCAGGGCCAGCTGAAAGCTCCAGTGGGGACGAAGGAATGGAGCTGTCACAGCCAGGGACAGAGTCGGAGCCTGGGCCATCCACCAGCCCCCAAATGGAAAGTCTGAGACCTCCATGCCTTGAGGCAAGTGATTCAGGAGAGGAGGATCACATGGGGTCAGTAATTGATGCGCGGGTGCGACGGAGGCTGAGGAGAGGAGAACAGTGAGAGACTATGGGCCAGTCTTCGGGGTAGAAGAGTTAGAATAGAAACTTAGAAAAAAGGTGGCATATAAGTTTAGCAAAAATAACAAAAATCTATCAAGGGAAAAGAAAAACAATTTGCAATTGTAAGTAAATAATATGGAAATCCTTAGAAAAAATCTCTATTGTGATAAATCTATAGATACAATTTTGTTTCAGAGGGAGGCACTGGTTTTTTCATTGAGGACCACACTTGAAGTGGGATGCTGGGGACCTCATTCCAGAAACAAGTAGGCCAGCACAAAAATTAAATTTGCTATTTTTATTTTTCTGTCATCTTAAAAATTATACTTTGGCAATGAGAAGGAAGGCTTTGGGAATTATATCTAGGACTATCATGAGCCACTTGGAAGACCACAGATTGCATATCCTTTATGTAAGGGAACAGCAAAAAGGTCAAAAACTAAAAGTGTCTCCATGATTCACATTTGATACTCGACAGAGCAATAGAACATCATGTATTAGCAAAATATGAAAGGTTTGCCAAATGTTAAAATTATCTTAACTTTTTTTCCTATTTTTCATGAAGACAGAATAGCACAATCTGCCTTTTAGCACAAACATCCTTAACTGTCCTTCCCTGTAAAAAAATGGCTTAAAAATCATGAACTGAAGCAAACAGATGCTCTTGTAATTCATGTCTTGTAATTCAATATTTCAGATTCTCTTTTCTCAGTGTATGTTGATAAGACACCAAATCTAACCATATTGTGACAGCTGCAATTATATCACTAGCCCTTTTGCTTTGTTTCAACATTTTTAAACATAATTTTCTTATTTTTTGTTCCTAAAACAATATTTAGCCATGCAACTTTATATAATCAATAGTAATTTTTGATTACTTCTCTATTTGTTACCAATTCTGCTTTCTCACTTTCATTAGGCTAAGTTAGAATTATTTTTCTTTCTTTGTACCAGTAGTACTCTTGGAGACTTCATTAAAAGCAATTATGTCTTCTTGCCATTCAGTCAGTTGTCTGGCGCTAAGGAACTAAGCGGGGTGGGAAAACCACTAGGAAGTACCCAAGCTTCAGGCTAGACTTGGAAGTTGAAAAAGCATCCCAGAAGAAGGAAATAACAAAACTTTTTTCTGCTGTTTGCCTGGCCATGGGCATGAAGACTATGTGAATTATATTCAGCCTGAAAGAGCTGACCAGTGCTGCAACAACCTCTATCTTGGGGAAGCAGGCATGCATATTGTAGTAATATTTTATTCAGAATAGAAGAAAAAAGGGAGGGAAGGAAGGAAGGAAGGAAGGACTGATTGACTGACTTTGGACTTCAAATAGATATTTTAGACTGACATAGTTAGGGTTAGTATATAGAGTGCAACATATATTTCCCTCCTATCAGGCCAAGGTTACAGAGGACACAATGAAATCCAATTGAATCCATTTAATTATTTACACATAATGGCCAGAATCTTGCCCATCTAAAACTATAACGTTATAAGCTACTAGATATATCCTGAGAGACTCTAGGGTGTGGCTACTCTGAATCTATTTCCCCCTCCCACTTCCAGTTTGGGACTGTATAGACTCTTAATCTGGGTCTTTCTCTGGGAAAATTTTGTGTTGCCAAAACTCTCCCCCACTGCTCCTCTAGGTACACATTCCATCACACCTTCTCCCTAAAATGAACTTGCTTCTGATATTAGCACAGTTGTTTTATTTCCATCTTCAGGTTAAAAGAGCATATGAAAACCTGCAAAGCAGAAGGTGAGAAGATTTCATTGCCACATAATATGAAAGCGATTGGACATCTGGAACATCTGCCTCTTATAATGGGGACTGTCCATGTAGATTGTTCTGCAGTTGTTGTGGCTGGTAAGTGTTTATAGACACATTGCATATAACCAAGTCTTTCACCAGTAAATTTTTAGAACCATGAATAATAAACCAATTTCTCCCCATCTCCTACCCCCATAATTGCCCTCTGGAATTATGCCCCCCCCCTTAGATTTGTGTAGTTTTCACCCATATGATGTTCTGGAAATCTTTTAAAAAGTAGCTGTTCTCTCAGGCCTATGGGTGGTTGTGGATCTCTGTTGTGTTTTATAGTACATAGAATGCAGTTTGCCTGGACATAGGTTTTTTATTCCTTACTGTTTTTATCTTTTAAACTGTAAGTTGCCCAGAGTTCTAGGACTAGGTAGCCTGTGGATTTTAATAACAATAACTCCTGATTATATTGGTTGTATAGTATTTTGCAACACAAAATTTTGTTTGATAGTAGTGGAACATGCATGTTCCACAGATATGTATTATCTCAATCTGTTGCAGGTGGAGAACACATTTTCAATTTATATTGTATTTTAACTTCCAAGGATCACAAGGACATACAGTAGCTAGTGAGTCAAATATGCGATTAATAATGAAACATAATAGTTTTGTCACTTTTTTGTTCTGGAAAATTCTAAGATATTTTTTTTTCAAAATTTGGAGAATTAAAAATTGCAAAACTGCCACTGTTTCGGTGGTACTCGGACAGCACTTCAACAAGAAGATGTTCTGGACATCCAGCGGAGAGGAGGAACTGAGAAAAGTAACAATATCACATTATATCCTTAATGTGCTTCATAGCAACAGAGCTCCTATAAAGCTCTTTTTTTAAATGCATCTATCTGAATAGTTTTTGTATTTTTTTTTTTCAGAAGATAATGAGAAAAGCTTCTCCCTGGGATTACAAACACTGAAATATTTGAAGGTAAACTTCTCTTTTCTTGGTGTTCTTCCTTTTGCACATCCTTATCCTTTTTACTCCTTTTTAATTATTTTCTAATGTATTTTAATTTATTCATCTTTATTTCTTAGTGTGTGATAAACTTGGAGAAACAAAATCTGATCCTGGGGAAGACAGACAAGGAAGAAATTCCTTTTGTCAGTAATGCTTCTATTCATGAAGAGAAGTGAGTGTTTTAACTGTCAGGCTGTACTGAGATTTAAGAGGATGTTATACAGTTAAATTTCTAGCATGATGAATATGTGGGACAAATGGTTGGGATAGATTTTGTTTGTTGCCAGAGAGCTCTCATGATTGTTCACTATGCACTATCAATGGTGTATTTATTACATTATTGAAAAGTAGCATGAATGAATGAGTGCCCAGAAAGCTTTCAGTGCTAAGTAATATGTGGTGGAAAGCTTGGATTTTTCAATGAGTAACAAGCCACATCTGTATTTTCATGTGCCTAGAAATGTGTTCCCTATTCAATAACTCTCGAACTTGCTTTCTTTGATGGCATTTTATCATTTCTCCTGGTACTCATCATCATACTAGCTGGGTAATATAAATTGGCCCTAAATACATGTTTTCTAGATACTATGCAGATACTATGATCAAGTTTAATATAATTTAATCTATTAGTCTTGATCTAAAATCTGTCATACAACTAATAGATATTTTCTCCAGACCTTCTACTGGGCTTTCAATCTTCCCTGTTGATCTTTCTGTTTTGACTCACTGCTTGCCACGTTGCCAAAAGAAACAAAATAATGTTACCACTTTGCTCCTAAACTATTCATGTGTGTACTTTGGGAGAGTTGTTACTGGTGCCTCGGGCAGTTGATGTAAGGTGTCATGAAAGCAAGGAAGCAAGTATTCATTTGTTGCCATATTTTTAAGGGTAGAGCATTTTTCTGTCTTTGGTGTCTACTCTAAATGACTTAACTAATTTTGGATGCTGTGCTTTTTATTCAAGTGGGAAATGGACAGTGGGTAACCTCAGGCAGCAAACAATCTTGGCCTAGTCCTATCATAAAAGTTGACTCTTAAGAAATAGGTTCTTCTGACAAAAGACTTAATGCTACAATAAAATAAGCATTTAAAGTTGTTCCAAATACTTTTGTTATCAGCTCCCCTTTCCCTTAAATGTCAGACATTAGAGAGATGGAATTTGTAAAATTTACACACAGCTGGAAAAAAAATTATGAGGTGCCTTACTTGCTAAACAGTTATTTCCTAGGGCACATCCTCATGGCAGCCACCTGCGCTCCTGGTTCAGTGCTGTAGCACACAACTGGAAGCCTGGGAAGTGTCCCTGGAAAAGGCAGGTACCTTTTTCCTCCAGATTTGCTTGTGCTAGCCATACAGATGGCGTTGCCTTACAGTTTTTTTTTTCTATCAGAAGAATGGGGAGTAGCCCTGGCTCTCATAGAGTGTGTGGCTTTGATATATTGCATGAGCAGAGCGTCCACTGGGCACATCCTTGCTCTAAGAGTTGGGAGGTGGGGGAAAAGGCAAAAATAACTCTCTTTTGAGAGACTGTCCCATTCATCTCATTTCAGCTCTGCTGATGCATGAAGAGAATATAATCCTGGCTTTGGAGAAATACTGTGTGGTTGAATAAGAAGATGTCAATACCAATAATTTCAACCTGCTAGACTACAGCTAGACTGTAGCTAAATGAAACAACATCTATTTTTCAGGCATTCAGGACAGCTTCAGACTTTTATTTATCATGTTGAAAATCTGGATTATGATGTGTAAATGGACATCTAAGTCCAATCTTAAAAATGGTGTTCTCGGTCTGGCCATCAAGTATGAAAAATTTTTTTTTCCATATTCTATTGAAATCTAATATTTGTTACAATTGGATTTGAGAAATAAACCTCCTCTTGCAAAATTGAGGTTGGGGAAAAGACGATTTTATAACTTTCTTTTTGGAACCAGTTGTGTTTCGCTGCTATGAATAGCTTCTGTTAATCAGCTTTTTCAGTGGATAAAAATGAATTGTTTGACATTATCGAAGAGCTTTCATCTGAGTAATTCACACAAGTTGTGGAGGATTTTTTTTTATTCAAAGGAATTGCATAATGGTTTGATTGTAATAATATAACTTGATCTAAGGTTCTTATTCAGTAGCATTTTACTTACAGAAATTGTTCTTTGGGTGGAAATGGAAGGAGGTACCATTTTCACCAATTTGCCCTCTCTCTTCCAAATTCCAAAGGATTGGTAGGCTTTCAAGAGTAGTATATGATTGCAAGGAGAGAGTAGATCTTCAGGGAAGAAGGAAAATCACCTCCCTAATTTCTTCTAGTAGCAGATTCACAGATTTCTCCCCACAAATGAAAAGAACCCTTCTATTCTCAGAAGGGTTACTTTGAATCAAATCTTATGTATTTTTCAAATGTATGTATTTCTCAGAATTTACAGAAATTCTATATGAAATGTTCATGTTAACAGAAAGAGGTTGGAAGCCAAATTTTATTTTTTAAATCCCAATACAGCCTTGAAGAGAATTTCAATATCTGTTAGTTTCAATGCTAATATTTATGATATGATTATAATCATACATTAATTTTGCTGCATAGCAATATGTCGTTAAATTTGAGAACTTAATTAGTCCCTTTTTTTTTGCTTGCCTACAAGCATTCCAGATTTAAATATGGATGCATCATTTTAATGGCAAGGTCATCTGTATCCATCATGATTGTCTATTTACTGCTAGTAATAAACTGACCTACTCATACTTGCCAAAGAATCTAAAAGTATGTTTTAAGACTGATCCAGTCTTCTTGTTCAGAATCTGAGCATAGATTATAGCAAGATAAATATATGTGTGTGCATTAAATGTTACAGGAAAGAGTCTTTCTAGGACAACATATTCATTGTCTTTGTTTTTAACCATACTTTCTTTGGGCTTTTCACTAATGGATGACTACTAGATTCTCAATAATATCAACTATTACCAAACAGTGTTAAGCATTTAATAATATTTCCTGTTCTCTTCATAACTTTCTCTTTGTAATTTAAAATTTCCAAGAAGGCTGTAATATATATATATATATGGACATTTCCAAAGTGACATTTTCTTGTGTTTTGTTTTTGAAACATCTAATTAACTGTGAATTAGTCTTAGAATAAGCCTATTGAGACTGTGCACACAGGATGTTTACTTTCCATTCATTATGATGCCACTACAAATGAGGTGGTCTGCAAATTGGAGCATGCTGCAGCAGTCATAAAACTGTGGCAGCATGCATATAAAAATGCATAAAGCTACTTAATTACCTTCACACTATTGTGACAAGATGCAAGATGATCCTAAGAATTATTCCTTGCTTGCATAGCAACTCATGCAAACAAATATATATATATACTGGACAGCTGTTTTAATATACATTCACTCTTTAAGAATATGGGGAGCTGTTCTGTAGATAATCTTCCATAACTGTTACTCTTCAATCAAGATATTTCTCTTGAGCTTCTGTCCTTAGCAGCTAAAGCCATTATAGCAAGCTTGAATTGCTATGATTACTAGCCTTGAATTCCATGGGTCATATAGTTACCATCACAGATATGCTTCTGATTACAATATATTAAGTGCTTTGCTGGAAAGGGGCTTCAGTAGAGTTGTGTGTGCGTCTCTACGTGTGTCTGTGGCAATATCAATATAATGGATGCAAAAACAGTTTAAAATACATTGCATCCTTATTAACTTGTCAAATAAGAATTTGTGTTGAATATGTATTTACATTGTTAAGAACTATCATTACACCAATGAAAGCACTGGAATCTATTTCTAATGAATGTAGAGTCAACATTTTTGGAGTTAGGTCAATTTTTATTATTTGATTTGTTCAGTCTATATTTGAAGAGACTAAGCTGCAGTATAGTTAAAATACATGTACTTCTGGACCTCTTTAAGTCCATGTTTTAACAAATTATAATTTGGCTTTCTGCAGTTGGATTAGCAACATCCGTTTAGCATTGACTATGACATTATTGACAAAGTACAAGTGCTTGGAAATATTTTTTTTTATGTCTGTCATTACTCTGGTTAGTATTTATAACATTTGTACATATTTAAAAAAAAGAAAAATTCTGTGTTTGCAAGGTGAACTGCACTATGTATATCTCTGGTTTAAAAGAAATATATATTTGTCTAAGTAACTATGCCATTGGTTTCATGAATTTATTACTTGAGTGTTTATTACTGTGCTGACAAAAATAAAATATAATAAACTTCTATTAAAGTATACATGATTGATTCTTAAATGCTTCCCAGGAGCCTCGTCCACTGGATTCACTCTGATTTTTATTCTGTATTCTGATTTTATTCTGTTTGTGAGGCAAATATGGAGCTCGTTTGTGAGGGGCGATTCTGTGTCTGTGAATCTAGATGTGTAGGAACTTCCCTTTCTCTTGCAAAAGAAATGGCGTCCTGCATGAAAGTGAGGGAAAGATTGTGAGAGGATTGTATTCCATTAGCTCATGGAAAAAGAGAAAACAATATGCCCATCGGAGCTGTTCTGTAAAAGGAAACATGGACAAAGCAAAGTTAATCAAGCAAGGACAACAAATTACTATAGTTTCAATTGAATTCAAGTACGAAAGATAGTAATGAATAGGAATTACTACTCATATATATTTAACTTTTCCCCATGTGTTCACATTAAAAACTGATTCTGTTGCAACTTTGTGGGATCGTATCTGACTGTAGAATCATTGGTTATATATCTCCATTCTACTAGAATATTGCCTTTTTTAATGTACCAAATAAATTAATATTATCTATTCGTTAGTTTATAGCCTGTCTAATGAAAATTAGAATGTGTGTTCCCAGCTTCGCTTTGATGGAGAAGCCCCATAAGTAAGCTGCATGGGTTGCATGCATTTGGGAATCCAAAAGGACTCCTCCTTGCTGCTGGCATGCAGATCCTCTTGTGGGGTTTTTCCAATGTGAAATTTGGAAGTACAGAATTCTTATCGGGTTTTTACTTATAGGAAAACATATTATGAGTTTTCTTAACATCCCTTTGATTTAAAAGAGTATTGCTCAGAAAATTTACCTTAACAGCAGTTTAAAATTGTTATTGTATAGAAGTGTACTTTGAGAATGGCTTGTTTTGGTGGTGTATTTTAAGTTGATGCACTATTATTGGAATCATTTTCATTTTCTTCCCATGTTCCAGTTTTAGTGATTTAGGGAGAAAAGATTTTCACTGTGCCTCAGTTCCAAGAGGAGAGTTTTAACACTATTGTGCACTCTTGGACTAGATTCTCTCTGCTGCGACTAATTTGATAAAAAAAACCATGAAAGAAACTAGGTCAGCCTTCTGTGGTGTTCTGTGAATGCATAGAATACAACCACTGCAATCCACTAGCCAGCATGGTTGTTGATTAAACTGACAGTGGAGAATACCAGATTGTTAAGGCTGAATGAGCTGAATTTAATACTGGAAATTAAGATACAGAAGTATTGACTCTTTGCATCTTTTATCCTATTGATCCCTATAGGTATTAGGGGTAGTAATAACAAGCAAGGGTCTCCTTTTTTCCAATTCTGCTCTGCTTTCCCTGAATGAAGACTGAAAAATAAAATACCTCCATCTTCTTGGCTCCATTTCTTGAGGCAGAAAGCTCAGAAATTCAGGATATTACAGCATATAACTTTCTTTTCCTTACTATTCCCAAATATTTTCAAGGGGTTTCATTTGGCTTACAATCAGAAGATTTGCTAACCATTGACGTAAGTGAAGGAATTGCAGAATTTCCAGAATTCTAGCTAGAATTACCTAAAAGTTTTCCCCTACATAATATACAATTTGGCTCTTGTATATTAAGTTAATGGAGAAGAAAACAGTATATATAAAGGGCATTTCATCCAAAGTTTGGACATGCAATATTCTCTAGTGCAGAATTCACTTCTGCTTTTTGGGGGGTGACAGTGGCCACAGAGATGATTGTACTGTATCAAACACTGTTTTTTCCTTATTTTTTGCTGCCTCAGATCAAGAAAATATCTTGGGAAAATGAGAAAAAAGGTGGTGAGAGACTGTAACCTTGGCAAATGCTTGTTTGTGTTACGTCAAAATAAAAAGCTAATGCCACCCAAACTAAACAATTCTGATTTCCTTATGGGAAGAGAATAACCCACCAGATATAAGGCATTAAATCTGATGCTAATCTAATTCGTCAAGTTGCATTGTAGATAGTTGTAAGCTAATAAATTTACCAACAATAAGGTTGATACCAGTTCCTAAGTAATAAAAAAAAACACCATTCAAGCACAAGGAGCAGACTGAAGAACTTCACTGTTTAGTAATACAACAACTTGATGAGAGAAGAAACTACAAAAACAGAGTGAGCATGAATACTCAGCATGGAATGATCCTTGATTTTTGGGACCCGAGAATGAGAGAAGATACAAAATCTTGGAAACTTCACATAGTTTTTTTCAAGCCCTATTTGCTTAAAAATCATGAAAAGAAGAACCCTTAAACCAGACAGAGGCTCAAATAGCTGTTTTAATAACATCCTTAGCCTGATGCCTTCAAGAAGAATTAAGCAGAGGATCAATTCCATTATATACACCTTTAGCATCTAACATTCTTCCTTTTAATTCTCTCCAATCCACTGGGGGGAAAATGTGCAATGGGAGTTTGGGACCCTGCCTTTTCATCAGTCAACAAGAGAAGCCTTCAAAAACAGAACACAACCAAATATGGCATGATAGGAGAAATCAAAGATTGTTTTAAAAAATGTGCTAAAAAGTGAAGTTCTGCAGTCTGCTCCTTGTGCTTGAATGGTGTTTTTTTATTACTTAGGAACTGGTATCAACCTTATTGTTGGTAAATTTGTTAGCTTACAACTATCTACAATGCAACTTGACGAATTAGGATTAGCATCAGATTTAATACCTTATATCTGGTGGCTTATTCTCTTCCCATAAGCAAATCAGAATTGTTTAGTTTGGGTGGCATTTACTTTTTATTTTGGCGTAACACAAACAAGCATTTGCCAAGGTTACAGTCTCTCACCACCTTTTTTCTCATTTTCCCAAGATATTTTCTTGATCTGAGGCAGCAAAAAATAAGGAAAAAACAGTGTTTGATACAGTACAATCATCTCTGTGGCCACTGTCACCCCCCAAAAAACAGAAGTGAATTCTGCATTAGAGAATACTGCACAGATGGAGTTGTTGTTGTTGTTAATTGCGAAGTCGTGTCCGACCCGTCGCGACCCCATGGACAATGTTCCTCCAGGTCTTCCTGTCCTCTACCATCTTCTGGAGTCCATTTAAATTCACACCTACTGCTTCAGTGACTCCATCCAGCCATCTCATTCTCTGTCGTCCCCTTCTTCTATTGCCCTCAATCTTTCCCAACATTAGGCTCTTCTCCAGTGAATCCTTCCTTCTCATTAGGTGGCCAAAGTACTTGCACAGATGGAGAGAGAAGAGTAAATTACCCCAATGCATTCCCACCATTGAGCTCATAGTTTTGGTGACTGCTCCATTTTTGGACACAGGACTCTGCTGCTATTAAGGAATTCCAGAAGCCATGTTCTGTATGCTTTCTTACCTTGTCTGAGCTTGCAAGGCATGTCTGTTGGCAGTGGGTCAAAAACTGAAAGATGGTGCTAGAACTGTTTTTTATATGTAGGTAAAACATAGATAAAAGAGTAGGACTTGGACTGCATGGTTACAAGCCATTATCTTGATTTTTTTGACCTAGTCCTGCAGATTCTCCTGGAGCTTACTAACTATTTTATTGGGAATCTTGAAATTGGAACTTGCTTCATTCTTAATTGTCTGTAAAAGCCTTACCTAGACCAAGGGCAAATGATATTATAATATTAAACAATTTTTAAACAATTGGATATATATTTGTGTTTACAGTAGGATTCCTTGATCTTTATCTTTACAGCAGTGGTCCTCAACTTTTTGGGCACCAGGACTGGTTCCATGGAGAGAGGTTTTTCCACAAACCAGAGGGGGCGTGGTTTCATGTGCTGCCTGCATCTTATGGATGGGGCTTCACTTGTTTGTGCGGCCCATTTTTTGGCATGCCGCAGATCGGTGCTAGTCCACAAACTGGGAATTAGAGACCCCCATTTTACAGTATATAAAACAAAACTCTACAAATGTTGCAATTTGTAGCTTTAATTAAAAATTAAAGGATTAAATTAAATTGAAGTTTTATGCATGCTTACTTGGGAATAAGATACATTTATTGTATAGTTGCCTTTCTGTGAGAGTTCAAGTAATTTGTTACATGGAAGTCTCACTATACTCAATTTTATCCCCCAGTAACAATCTTGTGAGGAAACAGTTTGAATTGTCTGGCATGTAAGATTTCCTTGACTGAGTGGGGACTTAAAACTAGATCCAAATCCAATATTTAATATGCTTTGAAATTGGCATTGATACTTGCCAAAAAGTAAGATTTTCCCCCTCTTCCCAAATTGCCTGAAAAGGGATAAAAGGAAAAGAAAAAAGCTGCTGCCATCTGTTTGGCTGGCACAACTTGGCAGAGCTTAGGAAATGGATGCCCCACACTAAATTTCTCTCCCACTTGCCCTCATTTTAAGTTTTGTGCCATTAGTGATAAAATTATTCTTATGGAAGACTGTGAAATGCAACATGTACTGTATTTTCTACAGCCAAAACATTCAGTATATCTTGTGCTGGAATTTCTTATTTAATACATTCAGTATTAGATATAATATAATCCCTCAAATTAATACCTGGAATTAAAATTAGATTCCTCTACTCAATATTTTGTATGCAGTTTCTTCAGCCTTTTGTGAGGGATTCTTGCCAGAATTTACTTTATCTTTCATTTTATCACATATTGTCTTTGCTTTCTATACAAAATTGACCATGGAGCTAAGATGTTTGACTATAGCAAAACTAGTTTATATGCTTGTCTTGTCTGCATTATTTTTTCAACTATTGTTCTTCTTTGTAATGTATGCATGTTTTGGTGAGCTGGCCTTTCATCAGCTTGAAAGTCTTGTTGTCAGTTTCAGAATTTGCTATTGCCATTTCAAAGACTACAAAAAGATGAAAGTGGTTTTAAAACTGTAGGAAGAAGCATTAATAATCTGTGTTATGCTGATGACATTAGTCTGATAACTGAATATGGTAATGACCTATAAGCTTAGTG